TCATAAAAAGTAAAAACTATCAAAATATTACCAATTATGTGTGACCGTTTGGAGGAGGAGGTAACTTTGGGTTTTGGAGAGGGAGACAATTTTGAAAGAATTACGTTTTTTTAATAAATATTGGTTGGTAAAATAGGGATTAAATTCAGGTTTTCCTTTTTAGTCTAAGAGTTTTCTATAATATTTACTTTTTCTTTTCGTTAGAGTTTACATTAATGGCAAAATATTTAGTTTTTTTGGTTAAGTATCTATAAAATATTTAGTTTCCTTTTAGTTTAGTACATATATGGAAAATAACTTATTTTTCTTATGTTATTCTCCTTATAAATAAGATGTAAACACAAAGAACAACTATTCATTCTGTATTTATTTTTTTCTCGTTTCTTCAATTCTATAAGAAAAGGTGTTCTCTAAAAAAGACGACTCAGGAACTTACACACCTTTCTCTTATTCAGAATGAAGAACATTTGTATTTCTCTTCTAGTTTTGCTTGTTGTGGCTTTAGGTATATATGATTTATACAATTATTTGTTGTTCTTTGTCCTTTCGATTAATCTTTCTTCTTTATTACTATAACCAAGAGTGTAAGAAAAATATTTTGAATTTTTTTCTTAATTTTTCGTGTTCTATTGGTGAATACTTTGGATTTTTTTAGAAATGTAAATTTCTTCAAAATCTGAAAAATAACTTTCTTGATGAAAACAGGAAACATAAATTTCAAAGGTAATATTATGTTTATTCTCTCCTTCTTACCCCAACACCTTACCCCAAACCCACATATTCTTGATTGGGATAATATTTTTTATTTACTTATCAGATACAAGAAAATCACTTATTTTTCAAGAAATTTTGTAACCTATTTGTTGTGCTTAGAGTTTTAAGATACTTTTTCTAGAATCGATTTATTTGATAATTATAGTTTTAAAATTAGTCTATGCATATCTCTCGATTAATTATTTTCTTTTTTGATATTTTTATGACAGTTGAAGCAAATGCACCGAAATATCCTCCATCAAATGAAGACAAGTGTGAAGCAATTTTTGAGAATTTTGGTTGTGTGGATTCATCAAATGAATGCGAAAAACATTGCATAGAATCATGTTATAAAGGTGTAGGTGATATTTATAGTTATTGTGATTTTGAAAAAAATTGCCATTGTCATCCTATGAGAGGTGCACCTTGTCCTCCTTTACCTAATTGCCCCTTAGTTACCAAAAAGAAAAATGTTACATCAATATTTTAATTTATTGATTAAATTATTAATGAGAATTATCTATCAATTTTTTTCCATTATTATATCTTTTTATAGTTGATTTGATTTTAATAAAATAAGTTAAAAGTGAAATCAAATCGAACCAACATTATATAAATTTTATATTTTGAAATACTTATTATAATGTAATTTGTAACTATTCATTAAATATTTATAATACATATTTCTTAATATATCATTATAAGTTTGAATTTACAATTTTTAATGATCCAGTAAGTCTTTGTAGAATTATAGCTCATAAATTTCTACTAACTTAAATCAAATCATATTTATTTTCATAGATTTAAGTCTTGTTAGTTTGATTTGGTTTATAAGCTTAAAATATCGAGAAATATAATTGATCTATATTCAACTCACCCTTAGCTCCGCCCTAGACAACTTCAAAATTGCCTGATGTTATCATCCCTACTTTTATTCAAATATTGAATTATAAACTAGCATATCATAGTGATGAAAATATGAGTGAATATGGACTCGTCTTTTACCCAATTCATTTTGTCACCTAACCCACTTTTACATTATATAAAATACAAGTGTGTCAGATTATTGCTCATTTTATATTGACTCAATTTAAACTTTAAATCTATTAATATTTGATTCAACCTCCATTTACCACCATTACATATAAAAACAAACGTTGATTTCAAAACAAAACTTTAAATTTGAACATCATATTATTTGTATGAACACATAATAAAATTGTTTATTTAGACCAACATGAATTGTGGTGCACTGGTGGGAGTGCTTCATTCTTAACCAGAGGTCTCGGGTTCGAGTACTGGGTATGGAGAAAATCATGTTGGGAGTGTCACCCCCGAATGGGCCCTGCAGAGCGCGATTCAAATTTAGTCAGAGCTCCAATGTGGGCACCGGGTGGGAAACCAAAAAAAAAAAAAAATTATTTAGATTTTTTTATTTATTTAAATAAAGGTGAAAATAAACAGAGGGAAGTCAATTTAGTAATTAATATAATCATATTCGTAAATATACCAAATTAATTAAAATTTGGAATTAAATCATAAACGTACCTAAAGAAATATTATTTAAAATCTAAAACAACTTACCTTAAGAAGACTTCGACTCCCATTTATAATTTTTATTATTCTTTCTCCTTTTGATTAACCTTTTAATTTAAATTTATAACTAAATGTGTATTCAATAGAAGCAAAATATTTTTTAGAAAAATAAGTTTTTTAGAATTTGGATTTTTTTTTTTTTAATGAAAATAGAAAAAATATAATTCAGAAGTGACATTATTGTCTTCTCCTCACTTCCAACACCTCAAATCCCAATATCGTCTCCGACCCACTTATTCATTAGAAACATATAAGAAAATGTGAAAATGAATACAATGTTTGTAGTAAGTTATCCAATATATATGAAGTGTGTCTATATCAAATAAAAAAATAATAGTATTAACCATTTTATATTGATCTAATTTTAAATCGTTCATATTTGATCCAGTTCACTCATTTATCACCAACAAACTCATTTCAAATTAAAACTACAAATGTAAATCTCAAATCATTTGTCCGAACATCTGTAAAGTTATTTATTTAGAAGAAATAGAAAAAGAGGGGGGAAATGAATAGGAAAACAAATTAAGGGGAAATTTAATTATAGTAGTCAAATCCAATAATAGTAGTCAAATTCATGAAAATGCCAAATTAATTAAAATTTTCCAGAAAATATCAACTCACCTAAAGAAGATTATTTAATTTAAAACAGTTTTCCTTGAAAATATTTTTAATTCCCATTATATAAAGCAAGATAATAATCATCTTTTACACACCTTTATTTGCCTAAGAATGAAGATCATTTGTGCTTCTCTTCTAGTCTTACTAGTTGTGGCTTCAGGTATTTATACAATTTTTGTTACTCATTTTTCTTTAAAGTTACAATTAAAGGGTATTCGATATGAAAGAAGATATTGATTTTTAAAAGATAAATACGTTTTTTTTTAAATCTAGAAAATGTCTTTTTTGATGGAAGTAGAAAAAAATAACTTTCAAAAGCGATATTCTGATTTGGTTGTCTTTTCCCCATTCCCAACACCACAAACTCCCTCTATCATCCCCTAACCCACCCACACCCTTTCGCCTCATATCCACCTTCGTCCCTATCCCGACCTCCCCACCCCTCAATCATATATATCTGCTCACATGTTATTGAGATAATATTTTCTATTTACTTATTAAAATCAAAAAATAATTTATTTTTCATAAAATATTTTTCGTGTAAAACATCTTTCTTTACATCAAACACATTAAAAAGAATTGATCTATCTAACACGTCTAGATTTTTAGATATCTTTTTTGTATATGGAGCTCCTTTCATTTTCTTTTCTCACCACTTTTTCTAAGTTCTTGCCTAGATTGACAACACATAGAATAAATTAAAATCAATGGATAAGATATAATTAATTTAAAATATATATCTAAATTATAGTCTAGATACTTTGGTGAATTAAATCTTAATAATTTATTTTAGTTTAAACAATCCAAGAAAGAACTTAGATAGATTAATGAGAAGAGAAATAGAAAGGAGTCGAATTCATATTTATGCCTTAAAGACATTTACAAAAATGTGATCAATAATGAGTATAATGGTTATATACTACAATCATGTAGTAAATTATCCAATATATATATATATATATATATCAATCTTTTCAGCAACACAAATATTAAATAATTCTGCCTATTAAAGTTTGAATAGAACTATCAACTAGTGTTGAGTTGCAGAACATTTTTTATTTCAACTTTTTTATGTTTTTTTTTTATGACAGTTGAAGCAAATGCACCAAAATACCCTCCATCAAATGAAGACAAATGTGAAGCAATTTTTGAGAATTTTGGTTGTGTGGATTCATCAAATGAATGTGAAAAACATTGTATAGAATCATGTTACAAAGGTGTTGGTGATATTTATAGTTATTGTGATGATACTAAAAATTGTCATTGTCATCCTATGAGAGGTGCTCCTTGTCCTCCTCTACCTAATTGCCCCTTAGTCACCAAAAAGAAAAATGTCACATCTATATTTCATTGATTAAATTATTAAAGAGAATCAAATATCGAAGAGAATTATTTGTTTAGTTTTTTTCTTGAAATTTTTTACTATACTTTTTATTGTCATATTTCCTTTTTTATATTAGTTTGATTTGTTGTACTTGAGTCAAGATCTTTGGAAACAGTTTATAATATCTATTAAAATTAGGATAAGATTTGTACACTTTATTTTTTCAGATTTCGTATATGAAATTTCGCTGAATATGTTATTCTTGAACAACTCTTTCAGACTTTCACTATATCTCAATAAAATAATACCAAAATGTTATTTTCAACATTTCCTCTTTTCCCAAAAACTAGGGGAATAGAGGTGGATGCAACGTTTCTTCACCAAGTTCATCTAAGTTTAATATTTTCGATGTGTGTAAATTTATTTACACACATAATAAACTGAATAAAATTGTAACAAATGTAAATGTTGATGTAGTTTAAAAAATGTATTGTGGTTCAGTTCTAAAAATTAAAAATTAGAGTTGTCAAATATGACCCCAAAAGTTGATGATCTAACTTGTCCAAAATATTATGATTTTGGCACAACAAATTTATTCACTCTAAATTCAAACAAGTATTAGAAAATTTACTCATCCAAATTATAATATGTGGCACACAAACCCATAACTTTAGCGTGAAAAGCATTTTCACGATCCCTTTCTTATCACTGAACCATATTCAATCAATTTTATAAGGAATTCACAAGTTAAAATACATAGATATTTATTTAATTTTCTAATACAAATACATGGTCTATGGAAAAGCTACTGGATTAGTCTGAATCACCACAAACCCCCACCTAGCTCCGCCTCTGGACTGGCACAACCAATTTATTCACTTAAAATTCAGACAAGCATGAACAAAGATCAAACTAGGGAAGTCCATACAACATAGTAGAAAATTAAAAATAGTACAAACAAACAAACAATACATTATAACATAAAACTTAATTAAAATTATTGATTCCCTCTTTTCCTAGAGCTTATATGGTTTCAATGCTGCTTCAATTTCAGTGGTGTCACTAAAATAATATCCCAAATATTCTGTATATGAAAATGATTTGAATAATGGTGGATTGTTCTCGTTTATAAGTAATTTTGCAGGTTCAATTATGCACTCAATTGGACTTATTAAGCTGCCCAATGATGTTCTATCAGATGTTGAATTTGTCACAACTCTATGCACTCCAGATGATAGCTTTCCATTTGTGACAACCTACACACACAATCACATCGCAGTGACGTACGCAGAATTTTTCGTAAGCGATATCAATATTTAAAGAAGTGAATAAATTAATAAGTCATTGATGTCCTGTGTATAACTTGTGTATCATAAAAAAAAATTAAAAAAAATATCTCCATTCTAATTTATGTGACAAAATTTGAATAGATATAGAGTTTAAGAAAAGAAGAATGATTTTTCAAACATGTGGTCATAAACATGTCATAACATTTATGTTATTATAAAACTTTTGAAACGTGTAATCTAAAACACTATATAACATTTGTATGACATGTTAAAAGAGAAGTTTAAGTTAAATCATTTCAAAATTTAAAAAGTTGTCATTCTTTTATAAAACGGACTGAATAATAAAATATTTCCACATAAGGAATGCATATGTATTTAACAATGAATTTTATCCCCTAAACCAAATATCTCAACTATTTTGGCAAAGAGCGCTAACACTAGATATAATAAACTTTTTTCTAACGTGAACCTGAATTAGTCGATTTGAAGTAAGAAGTGTACAATACCTTTAAGATCAAACCATTGATGACGACAAGTGCACCAGGAATTGGTTCAACACCAAACCATTTGCCATCTTTGTCTCTCACATGCAATCCACTTAGTTCTTGTTGGACCAAATTGATAAGTGCACCATCACAATGTTCACCTATACCTATTGTTGAGTTTGGGTCTGGACATTGTGGGTAGTGATGGGTCACCATGAGTTGAGTTTGACTATGTTCTTGGGTCAAATACCCAACTTCAAGCCCAAGTCCTTCACACATTAAGTCCAAAATCCTTAAGCTCAATTTCCTTAGCTCCAATGCATATTCACCTATCACTTCTCTGAAAATGAAAACAAATAATAAAAGATTAATATAAGGATGTTTTACATAAATTGCCGATTCGATTCACTGTTTATTTTTTCTAACTAGTATACATAGATTAATACATGATTATACACGTGTTATACATGAATTGTATGTACATTATACATTCACATGCTATTTTTAGTTTAAATAGTTGGGTGGAGCAGATTATCTTAGTAGTTCAGTTGGTTAGCCATTATTCATTAACTAACATTAATAATAAGAACTTTTCAACTATTTTGCCCTAAGTAGTAGTAGTAATAAGAAAAAATTTCTTAGTTATTTCATGCCCGTGGTGTTTGGTCCAGCTTCCCGCACCTCAATTAATTTCACAGATACCTGTCACACACATAAGAAGAATTACCTAATTTTTTTTTTGTATCCGTTGAGTTTTGAACCTGAGATCTTTGAATTCTCAACCACTTCATTGATCACTAAGCCACACCCTTGGACATTTTTCTTAGTTCATAATCGCCTTTTATTGAAACCGCATAACCAATAATAACAAAAACATGTTTTGGGCTCCCAAAAGTTTGGTCCAACAGACTACAATTAATCACACTTCAATATGGATATCGAACACCAATATAGTACAATCAATGTATAAAATATACCTATATTTTTGTGGTTTTTCAGGCCAAGAATTGATGACATCTTGAGTGAGAGGATGACAACCATGTCCAAAAGTGTCTTTCCAAAAGACAGTGTCCTTGACATTATTAGTGTTTGAACCATTCTTGTTTGGTGCGTATTCTTTTTCAATGTAAAGCTTTGGCCTTTGGTCAATTGATGGTTCAAAATCACTTAACCCCTCATCTTTCTCAACAAATTTTGCTTTGTCCTCAATTGGCAACTTAAAGAACTCTTTGCAAACTGATAATGCATCAACCATTAGGGTTTCTGACACTCCATGGTTGATCACCTGTAATAGTGGGTAAAGTTCAGTTACATCATCAACGTGATAATGAGTAATTTAATGAGTTTATTGTGATCTACTGTGTAAAGTAGAGTGACCATATGTTAAATCTCCATATTGTAATCACCACATTATATTCCTGGTATAACTTGTTTTCAAATCAAACGATCCCTAAAAATGGTATAAAATTGTCAATAACTAGCTAGTTAGAGCAACCGAACGTCAAAGCGGATGAAAAGAACTAGTTAGTGACCCAAAGTGGATATCAAATTCTAGGTCTCCCCCCCCGCACAAAATAATAATAATAAGTCCCCAAAGTTAATACTAAATACTGATACCGGGTGGAAAATAAAAAAGCTAGTCAAAACCCTTTTTAAGATATCAAACACCAGATAAGAAATAAATAAAAAAGCTAAAAACATTCTAGTATCCAATATAATCCCTATATTATAATCTCAGTATAACTTGTTCGTGAATCAAATGACTCCTATTATATGATGTCAAAAACAATCGATCGATATTAATCTCAATACATATATTAGACATTGGGTGAAAATTTCTAAAAATTAGTTAGAGTTCCAAAACGAACATCAAAGATAATATTTCAGGTAGAAAAAGTGTAACCTGAAAGAGACCAAAGTTAGCAGAAGCTTTGATGATTTGTTGAATAGATTGAGTTGAAGATTGTGATAAATCAATAACTGGAATATGTTTACCAATTGGTACATCTGCATTTACTCTTTTTTCTAATGGAACAACATATTTTTCTGGAATTGAATTCACTTCTGATGACCAACTTGAAACTAGTGATGCCATTTAATTAATTGCTTTGATAATAATAATTCTAGAAATAATTGATTTGTGAGGTTCCAAAGGTTTTGTTATGGACTTATTTATAGTGATGATTGGTAGGGAATAGTGAACGATGGTAATATTTCAGATAGGTAATAGTAAATAATGGTCGATGTAATATTAAGTAGGAAAAGTGAACGGTTGTGGATTAGTGTGGATGCAAAACACTATTTCTTCGTTTCATTTTGATTTATGTAACATTTTTCGCTTACAAACTATGTCTATATACACATCTATTTCTTTCTTTGTTTTTTTTTAAAAAAAAATTTTGTATGATATTTGCTATAAAGTTCGACTAATTCAGATTTACGTTGAAAAGTGTGACACCCCTTCTTAAGATACGAAGTCTATATCAGCAAAATACATGAGATATGTTTAATATATAAGTAAGTAGGTCTTATCCTCTACTAACTGCGTGTTTTAAAGTCGTACGGATCTAGGTTCAGGTCAATATCACTAATGGACTGGGCGTTACAAAAAGTCCTAATTTAAGGATAAAACACTCTCTATCAATAAAGACGGATTTTGAGTCTAAACTTTTTGGATTCAAATTTTAAGATTTTTAGCTTGAATGCATCGTATTTAAAAATTATGGGTTTATTATATCTACTATTCATTACATATATTAGTAATTTTTTGCACATAAATTATGCTCCTTGTTAAAAATATTAAATTCAGATAAATTTATGTGCTATAATGTAACATGCATCTGCCTCTACTAATTAATTATATTTAAAAATTTATACTCAAAATTTGAATTCAAACTCTTCGACAGGGAATGTAAAAAATATTATTACACCTGCTCTATAACTTTTTGGTGGTATATACAATGATTGTTATATATGCAACACGTTAAATCTTCATAACATTTTTTTAAAGAAAAAAATCAGACGTAAACATTATTTGTTATAATAAAATTAAATTAAAAAGAAATAATTGACTACAAGTTAATTATAATGAGGTCACAATTTTAATTTTCTCTGTTTATTCAGGAAAAAACACGAGGTCGTGTCGGAGATTATTAAATAGTCTTATTTTATTTATTACTTAGAAATAAATGTTTTTCTACTGCGAAGTAATGAAAAATTTGTGCTATAAAGTAAGATTTTACAATCATTTTTCGTCAAATTGGCTCACTGAAAAAAATACATGTTGGAAAATAGATTTTCGTTGAAATAGTAAATATTTTTCTAATTTTTCTGTATGAAAACAACATAGATACAAAAACTGCATGACTTATGTATATTAAATGATAGGCAAATATTATTATTATTTTTTTCCTCACAAATTCAATCGAGGATTAGAGTAGAAGATTAGTAGGTAGTCAAGCGCTTTCTTTTATTTCTCACCCGGTGTCCGATACCTACATTAGAGCCCAACTAAATCCGTTCATTTAAACCTGTTAATTAATTATTTTAGTCTATTTTAACACTATAACAAAACAACTTTTAACAACAATAAATATTATACTCATTAACAAAGAGTGTTAAACCTTTACTTACATTAGTAATTACTATTAGATCCAATATCGCTATAGACTTTAGGGACATTTACAAAAAAAAGTTTCAATTACCGCTAAAAATATATATTTAGCGATAATTAAGCTATATCATTTTTGATGTAATGTAATCCAACTAAATTGATCTATATCTACATATTATTAGCTTGATTTTTTTTTAGTTCAAGTACGTTTTCACTCATTATCGTATCTAACAATATATTCAATATAATATTATAAATGAGATATGAAAAAGATAGAATACACGTAAATCTTATCTCTATCTAATAAAAATAAATAAACTATTTTTGATAGATTCCCGACTAAAAAAATAAAATAAAAAAATAATAGAAAGCACTAATAACAACATGATAATAAGATAAAATGTCATCGTACCTACTCTTGAATAATATCAAATTCACCTTATCATTTAAATAATTGTCTGTTCTAATAATTGTTGAAAAAAACATTATTTTATACCCCTAAAAATGTCCCTCCCATTGTGAATTCTGCCAAAAAGAAAATATAAGATAAAAAAGAAAATATTTGTCCTCACATACTGCTTTAGTGTAATTAGTCGTCGTTGATAAGTGAGGCTTACTTTAGTGATTGATCATCTTTATTATTAATCGAATGGTTGAAGGTTTAAGTCATATCGAGAAAGCGAGAATACTGTTAATTTTTCTAATGGGTGGGGAAAAAAATGTTAGCAGCCATTGCATCATGATAAGAAGGGATGTAATAAAATGCCAGATATCTGGGATACATAGATAAATATCTTAGTTTTTTTTGTCTCCCTTCCATCTCGTTTGCCACTTTTCTATGTATCTAGTATCTCAGATACATGTGAATCACACTAGATACATATAAATACATATATCAAGTCTAGTGTGTATCTAGTGTGATTCACATGTATTTGAGATACATAGACAGATCTCACTCGCTTACCTCTTGTTCTCGCTCGCCTCTCTCCCTATTTCAGTGTATGTGATAGCAAAAAACATGTGTCTAGCTGTATCTGACTTCAAATTTGATATGAAACTATTAATTAGTGATATAATTAATGTAGTAAAACAAATTCATCCATAATTTCATTATCCGTCTATTTGTATATTTTTGAACAGGTTAATAACTTATTTATAATTAATTGAAGTTATTTTGATCCACTTAATTTAGTCTTTGAAAATTGGGCTTATATACGTCTCATTTTATTTTTTATATTTTTAGAAAATCTTACCTCCGTCACTTAAACAAGAAATTGATAAATATATTATATAGTAGATAAATGTTAAAGTTCACATTCCTCTAAGAAATTGCTTAGATAAATATATTTATAGTAGATAAATGTTAAAGTTCACATTCCTCTACCCTTCGAGAAGCGTATGTAATATACATGAAAATTATTAAATTAAATATCATTAAATGTACTAATATACATGAAAGTTATTAAATTAAATATCATTAAATATCCTACATTACCCGTATGAGATTTACATGAAAATAAATTTACGGAAGTAATTATTAAATTAAATATCCTACCTTGATTGTATTTCCAAAGTTCGAAGAGTTTTTGTAGAGATGAATTACTCATGAATAATATCTCTTTTTAAATATATTTTCTTTTATATATTACAATATCTCAAAAGTATTTTATAATTCATTAATCTATAACTAGAAAACAAAAAGAGTCCACAAAATCATGAGACACTATTAAAAAATAAATAGAAATTAGCGACGAATAAATTTTGTAGCTAAACAATAAAATCATTGCTAATATTATTTAGCGGTGAATTAACAAGGAATTTCATAGCTAATTTCATTTTTCTCGAAGTGAGAAAGTAAAAAATGAATATCAACACATTTTTATGATAAACTGAATTACCCAAAGAAAAAAAGAAACAAATTTAAACTACTTTTGCATCTAGTTTTTTCTATGAATAAGTCCGGAGTATATTATATTTCCCTTTTAAGCTATACTGAAAAGATTGTGTTGTGATATACATTAAATAACCACGTTAAAAAATTCTCTTCTTCTTGGTAAAATCATTTGTACCATAATTAACATGATTCTGGGTTGTGGTAGGATGATTCGGTCTCTCCCATCTTAATTAGAAGTTTTAAGTTTGAATTTTTGAGAACGAAAATAATTAAGTTGAAGGTGTTGTCCTCAAAAATGATCCTGCCCCACTATAACAAAAATAATTTTTAGCGGCAATAAATGTGCACATTAATAAAGGGTGATAAAACTTTTACTGACATTCGTTAATTGTTATTAGATTCAATGTCTCTATAAGCTTTAGGGATATTTACAAATAGTGTTAATTGTTACTAAAAATATATATTTAGCAGCAATTAAGTTATTGCCGCTAATTAATTACCCCTAAAATAACTTTTGATGTAGCCTATAATGCACATATTTAAATTTAGTCGGATTCCACCCGGTAAGAAATAAAAAACAAACATGTTGCTCATGTCAAAATTAAACATTGATTCTTACAATATTTTTTAAAAGGAAAAATATTTTCTTAAATTTTTGTAAAAATATTTTCTGTGTTTTATTCCGACTCAATCTTCTACCTAATTAATTGACATCTTAAACAATGACAAACCCACCAATATAAGTGAATAAATTAATAATAATAATAATAAGTTAATAACTAGAAGAAAATTCATTGTTGGCATTATTTTCCCTCCAATTTTATGTTAAGAATTTGACTTAAATGATAAAAAATAAAAATAAAAATTGTGAGTTTCATGTAGTTTTAACTGTCCATTGTTTTTCTTTTACCTCTTTAAATTAACATTTTTTTTATTAAAACAAATCTTGATGATGAGTTGATCAAATATTTGTTCTCAATCAATAACATGCGTGTGTAGGTCAACTCAACATCGAGGCGTGTTTTAATACAAAGAGAGTGATAGTTGAAATATGAAACTCTCAAAAATATGATAGTTTAAATAGATAAATAAACAATGAATAATTAAACTATAAAACTCCCCAAATAAATAAATAAATTAGATGCTTGTTTTTTTTTTTTTTTTACCATTAACTCTAAAAGTTTGTATATCCCTCCAATTTTAGGCTAAAATATATTTTTTTCCCTCCCATCTTAAGATTTGATTATTGATAAGTGATCTTAGAAATATAACTGTCCTTAGATTATTGATAGGTGATCTTAGAAATATAACTGTCCTTAGATTATTGATAGGTGATCTTAGAAATACAATAATAACTACTTAATTTTATTGGCAAATTTTATTTAGATATTTAAGTTATAATTAGTGTTTTAATTAATCAACTGAACACATCATAAAGCATTCTTATTATATATTTTTAATTTTTTCTGGGTGTATTCTCAAGTATTCATTACATATAGATTAATATGATCTCTTTCACTTATATGTATTAACCTTAACAACCTGTAAAATCTAAGGTATGTTACAATTATGGCTGATGTTTATAATTAAAGAGATGACATAATATGTGATTAACTTAATTATCTAATAGACGTTTGAGAACACGAGCAAAAAAATAATCAAAATTTGTATCAAAAGTGTCCAGTAAGAACACT